ATGTTAACTGCTATGATTGGGGAGGAAGGGCTGAGATCTGCTCTTATGGGTTAAATTGGGTGTTCCTCCTATATGCTGATGTCCTAACCAAACCAAGAGTACTTCAGGATGTGACTTATTTGGAAATAAGATCTCTGCAAATGTAATTACTTAAGATGAGGTAATACTGAAGCAGTGTGGACCCCTAATCCAACCCAACCAATGTCTCTCAGAAACAGAACGGCAGGACATTGAAGGCAGAGATCTACAAGCCAGTAGTCTGCCAGAAGATAGAGGAGAGGCATAGAACTGATCCTCTGTTAGCCCTCAAAGGGAACCAACTCTGCCACACCCTGATGTCAGGGTTCCAGCCTCCAGAACTGTGAGAGGTAATTGAATTTCTGTAGTTGGCTGAAGTATTTTGTTATGGCACCCCTAACAAACCAATCCAATTTCCTTTGTGAAAGTTCCCTGGAAGGCTGTCCAGCTGGTCCTTCCTGAACCCAGTTGGACCAGAGTTCTCCTGTGGGGCATTCCCCCTGGCAGGGGCTGGCTCTATTGACCCCCTCCAAATTCAAGCCTGGGTGGCAGTCTTCAGCTTCTATACTGCAATCCCAGATACTTCTGCGTGGCACCCTTCTCTCTCCCCATTTGTGAATAAGGAAGTACTCTTGCCACTTTCCCTTCCTCTCCACCCAACTCACCTACCCTAAACCTCCTTTCCTTCTCTCCCTGTTTCCACAGAGCAGCTGCATAGGCCTTGGCAAGGGTACCCAAAGAAAACTCCCTTTGGATCCCCTTTCCCTTCCTCCTAGAGCCCCACTTCCCACCCTAAGTGTGAATAGCAACCTCTGTAGGTCCCATTCTTTATCTTTCCTGGGGCCATTTCTTCCCAGATGATTCTCCCACACTCCCAACTGATGGCAAGTTTAATTATTTGTTCAGAAAAATATTAATTAACTGCTCATGGAGCTCACAGCAACTTCAAGGGTCTGTGATGGCAGATCAGTCTCCCGTCCGGCTCCAGTGGACTTGTACGGGCTTCCTAAAGAAGGCTCCTTGGCCCAAGACGGGTGAGTACTGGGGTAGTGACATATTGCATGAACAGGGCAGCACGAGGTACCAGCATAGGAAGACCAAGTACTTGCCTTTGCTTGTCTCAGAAGTGCAGACTTGGATCAGGATGCAAATCTGGTCCCATATATGACTAAGTGAACTTGGGCAAGTCTTTATGCTCTTGCAATCTCTTGGCTAACTTAACCTCTGAGTGTTGGATAATCCAAATAAATGGAACCAGTGAAACTAATGAGCACATGGGTATTTAGTTAATTGTTTTTTAAGTCTGCATATAGTGAGAATGGGAAAGTGTTAAGACAAAAGCCAAAATAACCATAGTGGAAGGCAGAACCAATTCTAAGGGCCCTAAGAAGTAGAGTGTGGTGGAAATTCAGAGGCAACTTCCAATTCAGGTGATTTTGCTGGACTTGAAAGATGGGGGCTTGAAGAGAGATGAGAAAATAAGAGGTCTGAGAATGGAAGCCAAAAATGTGGGACATACTTATCAATGACCATGGATGGGAAACTCACAAGAAAGGCTGGAGAAAGAAGTTTTAATTTACTGAATAAAATGTTGAAATTTTAATAGGAGCACAAAAATCCCTACAAAGTCAAGTTGCATAATACACTAGTACATTGTTGTTTGCATTTAAGAAAAAGACAATAACCGGAATCAAATATTTGATTGCACAATTTGGTATGGACTACACCATTACAATAGTGCTGTACTTCTTCCTTAACAAGCCTAATTCACCATGATAAAAGTTACTATTTTTGAGCTCTGAGCATGTATTAGGTAGGCATATGAACAAAGTGGTCTATACAGCTTCATATTAGCACAGCACGGTAGATACTACTGCTATGGAACTGAGATTTCAAGAGCTAATCTGCCCATGCCATACAGCGGTAAGTGGCAAAGACAGGGCTGGCACCAAGGTTTGAACCTGGACACCAAGTACCCAATACTATTTGACAGTAAAAAGCTGGGCCAGTGAGGGAAGTAACCACAGACCGGTAACACCCAGCTCCTCCACTGCTTCTAACTCAAGATTTCAAACACATGGAAAAGGCTGTATGGCAGTGAAACATCTGGAAAGAAAGAGCTCTTGTTTTGTGGTCAGTTAGCATTCATTCCTGTCCATAATAAAACAGCTGCCAGTGCCAGACTGAAATGCGGGTCCGTTTTCCACTGATCATTGATGTGTTCCTGGGCACATTAATTCCCTCCTGCTTTGAAAAGCCTTCTTCTTTATTACAAGTCACCTTTCACCCCACCCTCCCCTTTCAGGAGACGCTTCTGCAGGCGTACATGACATGTTCATAAAAGAAGTCAAAACTGGTGGTGTTTGGGTGTCTGACCCAATCCTAATAGGATTAGGGGGTATGGGGTGATTCTTTGTCTCAAGTGGGTTCCAGTGATCTAGGTGTTACCTTCTGGTCCACAGGATGTCCCAGCCACAGAATAGCACCCAACTCACAGGAGCAGGGGACCTGCCTCCAAGCAGGTGAAGGAATATAACTCTGCTCTCGAAGGCAGTAGAATAGGGGCCGAGGGTAGAACATGAGTACCTATCTCATGATCAAATACCCTCTCTTCAAAACTCCAGCCAACAAGAGTACAAACCACTTTCTTCAGATTCCTGATGCCAACCTTCTGCATGACTTTACTGTTCGAGGTAATTTTTAGACAACCTGTTTTGGAGGAAACATGCCAGATGCATTAGACTGGACATGAACTTGCTGTTATTCACTGTTATTTTGCTGACAAAAATAGTCACTCCCTATGAATCAGCTTAACAATCATAGCTATGTGCAAGAGTCTCAAAATGTCTTCTATATTTGTTTTCCAACTTACATAAATACCCCAAGTTGTAAGAATAAAATGAGAAAATATAGTACATACTAAAATCTTAGTAAATGTCCATCGACTCTTCAAATATATAAGTCCTACAGTGTTCAGATAGTTCTGCATGTATTTTAATGTAAACTGGGCATAAAACTTTCTGTCAGGCTGAATGCACTTTAAAAACTCAAAAAGAAAATCCATTTGATTTATATATTTACATTTTTATTAGAATTCTTCAGAACTGTCAACCATTGGACAACATATCAGGAAAAAACACATGAAACGTCAACATCCTTTAAACTTGCACCGCTTATATATTTACACATAAAGTTACTGTATATATAAAAAATATTTTCAAGGACTCATGGGCTTGGGAATATTCAAAAGACATTATTGCTACATTTCAATATTTACAAAAAAAGCCACAAAATAATTTCAAACATTAAGCAACTGAAAGAAACATCTGATGTAAAAAAAATTATAAAAATATAAACTTTCAAGAATATTCAAGACAAAATTCTCCATGATGTGCCCTGAAGTACCTAGATATTCTACAATTAACAGCTACTTTTCTTACTATAATCATAGTCAATAGGAACGCAAAGGAGTTTTTCCAAAGTATGGCAAATGGTGACCATCTCTTACGTGACAATACAACCCCAGAACCTGCCGACTTTGGAAAGGTGCAAGAGCATAGAACTCCCATGCAAATACTTCTCTACGTAGGTCTAAGGGACAGACGAGGGACACCGTGAAAGTGACATACCTGAATCTTGCAAGACAACACAAATCTTGCCATGTACGGATTTAGCTGTTATATTGGACAGTGATGAGGAGGAGGGGGAAAAAACGGTTAGCTATAAGAATAATATCGAGACTACAGCCTAAACAATGAAATTCAAATGTCTCAGTGGAATAGTAGCATTTGATAAGGTCTGAGCAATGGGTACAGTATGATAAGTATAAGTAAGAGAGTGCCTGAAGTGCAGGTGGCTGCAAATAGTCCTTAAGCACTCCATTGCGGACAAGCCTCTGTGTCAGCTTTTGGTTGGCTACTCTAGACAGCTACATGCAGAGAAACAGGAGAGATGATGAAGGATAAATTACTTCTTGGACCCTCTTGGACTCAGGGCAGGAACAAGCCCAAAATAACTTGTCTACACACATACTCACACACACACACACACACACACTTATGCAGATACTGGCCAGATGTCCAAGACATGCCTGTGAAGGAGGCTGAGTCTAGCTTTTACTTCCTGCTACATAAGAATGCAAGCTAGACAGCATTGTTTTCTCACTCCTGTGGGAACCATGCAGTATCACTCAGTAACTTTTGAAAGAGCATCCAATGCCATTCTGAAGCTGGGAGGCTTGATCTGGGAAATCTGCAGGGCAAATTCATGGGCTGCAAGAGGAGGCTTTGTTAAGACTGTGCTTGGCAGTTATATTATTTTCCTTACAAAACAGTATTAACAGTTTTCTTCAAACTTGTATGGCTGTTAATCTATTCCTACACATAGCAGACATATCGCCAGGGCTGTGTACAGAAACTAAAGCTTGTGGGTTCCCCTCCACACAATCCAATGTATGAACACACACAATCTACAGATGAGTATATACAAACGCAGGCTAGGGAATTCTTGTCTCTAATTCAACTCCCTAATAGCAAACTCTATTTCAAAACCAGGTCAGTTGCACAAAAGCTCATCCAGTGGTCCACAGCGGAGTGTCTCTATTTGTGCCTGGGGGCCATTTTTTCACAGCCTAGGTCTCCTTCTCAGCATGAAATACTAATTTCTGAAGCCCAGATGTTCACACTGGTGTCCTTTGTTCTAACAATGCTCTATTTTTCACCCAAAGGGCTTAGGTTTCAGTTTCCAAACCTGCATCTTCACATCATTGTATATGGTTCTGCAGGCCAAACGTGACTACTTCTATTTATTCAAATAAACTACCAGTCATACTTTTTTGAACAGAATTGGAGAAGCTTTGGAAAGAACTCCGGGCATCTAGTCCATCGTGCCCTCCCTTTCTCTAAATGAGAAGTTTTTCTGCTTACAGGAGGGGTTCATTGCTATTAGGAATATATATATATATATATATATATATATATTTTTATATACAGTTCGAACCTTTGCAATGGATTGGTGGCTGATGACAAAACAATCACCAGCCACTAAAGTGTGCTCATAAAGACAGGATTATAGTGGGGGTCGCCCACTACCCTGGAGTAGGATGCAAGTCGAAGGAAAACAAAATAACCATAAGGAAGCCAAAAGAATGGGCGTCACGCCTGCGAGGGAGACCCCGTGCTCTTTCTGCTCAGGCATCTTCATGCACAAGCAGGGGCTGGGTGGAAGAGGCGCTGCTGCCGACGGAGTTGACGCGCACAGCGTGGTCCACCATGGGGTTCTCTGGGCGCGGGCTGCAGTTGGCTAAGTTGGAGTAAATCTGAGGGAAACAAGCCCACAGTCAACACAGTGGTCCCTACAATGAACACAGCAACCAAGGGCACTTACAGCTTCAGAACTGCAAGTAATGCACCAAGACATTTTTTTGGAGGTAGTGGTCTTTGATCTCAGGACCTCATGCTTGCTAGGCAGGTGCTCTGCCACTTGAGCCATGTCCCCAACCCTTTTTGCTTTATTTTTCAGATAGGGTCTTGTGTTTTTGCCCTGGGGCCAATCTCAGATGCACTCTTCCTACCCATGCCTCCTGGGTAGCTGGGATCACAGGCATGTACCACCACACCCAACTTACTTGCTAAGATGGAGTCTCGCTAACTTCTTGCCTAGGCTGGCCTTGAACTGCAATGCTCCCAATTTCCACCTCCCAAGTAGCTGGAATTACTAATGAGCCACTGCACCTAGCTCCAAGACTTTTAAAGAAAGTGGTTTGCAAGAACTTAGTGGCTAAACCCTAGATCATATCGATACAATTTTCCTCAAGGAAATAACTTTACACAAGGAGTGATGGCAAAACATACATGCAAGTGTAGCTCTTCTGATGGACAAGCACAAACTAACTTATTAAAAAGGTTTACAAATCCCTATAGTCAACTACAACCCAACTGCAAATGTAATTGGCTGAGAAACCCATGGCTTTTGCAGGGTCTTCTATCAGGAGTCAGAGCTTAGGTGGAAAATGCTTTGACACCCTGCAGAGCAAGAAGAATTAACCCAAAAGCATGAGTGGTAGGCTGTTAGAAAGGAAAAGATAGCTCGAAGGACACAGAGAGGGGAAAAAAAAAGAGGGGAAGCTTAAAAAAAAATCTGAGTAAGCCTGGCAGAGTAGCTCAAGTTGGTAGAGCACCTGCCTAGTAAGCACAAACTCCAGTACCACCAAAAAAATCTGTCAAGTAAGGATGGCTGATTCTTCCTTAAAAGCAGGAAAGGAAATAGTGGATTTGAGTTTTCATTCCTCCTCTCAAAATCAGTAGGAGAAATCTCCCAAATTCAAACAACTCTTCTTTTCTATGGCTTGTGGGCATGACATTTATCACCACTTGCTGGCTATGGCTGTTTGGGTGGAAGGGTCACTTTCTCTATGGTAACAAGTGTCTTTTCAATGCTTTCATTCTAATTCACATTACCCAGTCTGCCCAAGATGACAGGCCCCAACATGTGAGAGGGAGACCATGATCAACATGTGGTGTGGGGAAGAAAAATGGCAACTCCTTATGGGAACTTGTATTTCCATGCTTTGCCCTCCTCATCTTACATCTTTGTTTGGCTCGGTACAGGGTTTTTGGACAGAGGGAACTGGTTTCCAACCCAAGCTGTGGTGGTGGTGGTGGTGGTGATGGTGGTGGTTAGGGGGTGCTTATTTCTTACCCCTGAAGCCTAAAGACCACAACCCAGGAAAGTAGGGAGACATGGGATCCTAGACCTGGCCAGTTACTCACATGATTGGTGCTATCTGAAATCTGCTTCTCAATGAGCTGAACGATCTGCTTGAACGTTGGCCTTTTTAGGGGATCAGCATCCCAGCAAGTCTTCATAATGTCGTACCTGCAAAATGAGGGCCAGACACTAGCACTCCTGTATCCCAGCATAAGCACACAACAATTTCAATAACAGTGCCAGGGTTGTGTACCTGGACACGTGAAATCACATAGGCATAAAACCAAACATATAAGATACCAGCAAAGCTTTCTGTACTATTGGTGACAAGCAGTTATGAAAAGAAGTCACAGCAATGACATCTGATCAGGTCCCAAAAGGAACCAGATGACATTTCAAACTGTAAGTGCAAACCTTCAACATTTGGGTTTCTGCTTTAAAAAGAAAATTCAAAGGGGATGCATATCTGGACGCTTACATTTCAGCAGGTGCATGCTCAGGGCTGAGCATCCGGAAGCCTTCCTTGATCATCCTGTAAAACTTGGAATCCACTGGCATCCCAGGGTAGGGGCTGCTTCCTGAGGCACACACAGTTGGCAAATCAGTGTTAATCACAAATGAGCAGGATACTAATGAAACCTCAAGAAGTTGTTCTGAGTCTAATGAGGGTGTCTTTGGCAAGGATCATCCTACCTAGAGAGAACAGCTCCCACAGAAAAATCCCATAGGACCAGACATCACTTTCAAATGTGTACACGCAGTTGAAAATGCTTTCTGGTGCCATCCACTTCACAGGCAGGCGGGCCTAGGAAGGAAGCACGACAGATTCACCCAGTTAATGAAGACGCTCAAAAGGCAGAACAGGAAATCTTCCTAGAGATGCTATTCTGCTGAAAGGTAGGGCGGACAATTTGAGTACCATCTCACAAGACCTTTTACCTACATGACCTCAGCTTTTGAAAGAGGGGGCTTACCACCATAATACTGCCATTTAAAAGATGGGGACATTCAGTCTGTACAGCACAGTGAGTAAAGAGCACAGAAGTCTGGGATGGACAGGCCTGAGTTCTAATCCTGGCTCCACTAATGGTCTGGCATGAAGCAGAGATTCCTTAGCTGCCACAGAATTATTCTTTCTTAAGAGAAACATGGCCTCCCACATTAGGACTACATTTCCCAGGCTCCTTTGCAACTAGCTATACCACATGACTTAATTCTGGCCACCAAGCTATAAGTGTTATATAGCAGCTTTAGAAAAACCTCCTTAATATAGAGCTGCCATGTGTTCTCTGCCCATTTTCTTGTAGTGTCCCTTCCTCCGCCTTGCCTTTTGGATCTAGTGGCTGTCTGTCTGTCTGGTGATCAACCTGGAGCAGGAAGATGAGGTCTATACCCAAGGATGGCAAAATGTGGAAAGCACTTCATGGAACTTCTACACCAACCCTGGCCTGCAATGCCCTCCCTTCTTTTATTCTGGGTTTTCTGTTGTATGCAACCCAAACTCTCCTTCATTAATTCACTGAGAAAGTCACTAACATATTGATAATTAAGCTTCAGAATTCTCTTAAGTGAAACAACAACAACAACAAAAAAATCACACTCCCAGTTCCATGAGTTGTTTTATTGGACAAATAAGAGGATGGGGATAAAAATGCTTAGTGCTACTGGTTAATCTCTGAAAAATCACTCATATAACAAGTGCTCAATAAACAGTAGTGGCTGTGCTGAGGTGGTAGGTGGCAGAATCAGTGAGTAAGCCAGATAGCTGGACTTCACATTCTGAGCACCTCACATTAAGGTCAAGCCAAACTTTCTGCAACTGTTCTTAGAGACAGTCTGGATTTCCGGAAATTAATCTACCATAAAAAAACGAAATCAACCCCTCTCTTAATCCTTTTAGGATTGGAAACTGGGAAGAGCTTTCTCTAGGCTTAAAGTTATTTTAGCAGGCTAAAAAATAAAAACCTTCCAATATCCATCTCCAGACTTGGTGCTAAAACTTTTGAGTGGGGCTGCTGACCCAGCGTTTGGATGTCTTGATTTCAGGACTTTGTGCGCTTGGAAGGTAAATGATTATGTCCTTATTTTCACTACCTTCTAAGGGAAGTCTAGCATTTTTAAAAATTACAAATGATGGAAATAAACTATAATAACATCAGCAGGCCTTGTGACTTCGTCACAACAGAATCACTGATACTTCCACATCCTAAGAAAGTATTTACTGGCATCTCTAACAGCATTTATATTTATCACCACTTTGAAATTACAACAGCTTTTAGTATGCGTTCTGTGCAATAAAGGACATATATTGACACATCACATTTTCTTTTTTTAAATTTGAAAACATTCAACTCAATGCAACTTACTCATCTGGTTATTCCTATGTATTTTATTTTACACATCTAAAATGGTATTCTGACAAAAGGTCCATAGCTTCACTAGACTCCCAAAGGGCCCAGGACATAAAAGTGACTGAGAACTTACATGAAATGAAAAAACTTTCAGAGAACCTAACAAAAAGATTTCACATGACTACAACATAAATTTTGGAGCATTCTTTCTTTTGCCCCATAAATTCTCTTTACCCAGTAGCCTGGTGAGAGAGGTGTCTGTGACTGGTTAATTCAGCTGATTTGTGCTGAATGTCACGATGTGGAGGTCTGGTGGGGTCTCATCCATCCACCTTTGTCAATTGCAATAACAGCTAAGAAGCTAGCTTCCTTCCAAATCACCACTTTTGTCGTGATTATTTCAATTTCAAACAAGGCATCCAGAGAGTGGCACCGTTTTGAAATTTTTATCTATTTATTCATTTAATCCTCCCAACAACTTCACAGGCCAGGTGCCAGTATTATTCCCAAGAGGAAAAAATACCAAGATGTAAAGGTGTTGGATGATTCTTGTCAAATATTGCCTGGCTAAATAATGGGCCCAGACTTAGTCTCAGCAAGAGTGGGCCCAAAGAGAGCTACCTCTTTTCTCTTGCCCTACTGTCAATAATCAGAGGCTGGGATAATAAATAACTTCTTTCCGCATTGTACCAGGATGGAGGGAAGTTGGTTTTACCAACTCTTCTCATGATACCTGCTTTTGGGAACCTTTCCTGAATTGCCTGATTTGGTCAGGAGATAAACCCAGCAATATCTTTACAAAACCAACTTGAACACAGCCTCCCAACAGAGATGCTATGGTGATGAAGGAGAAAATATTAGATTATCATAAGACACACAAAATCTATCTCCAGGAATAAGCGTAGACTATTGAAATGGGCTTAGGAAAATAGGCACAGAAGACTGTATGGCACCAATTGGTTACTGCTGTGGAAATGATAAGCTCTGGTTTCAGCCCCTACTGACTCATATCACCTCAGATAAAAGTCACTGAAACACACTGTGCCTTGGTTTCTCCAACTATTAAAAATGGAAAGATACTGCATTATAGGGCACGGGTTTGTTCTGAGGCTACAATGAAAACCGGCAATGAAATACAGCACTTGAAAAAAAATTCCGTATGTCCTACAAGCAATTATTACTGATGAATCTATTTAGTAGTCCTCTATTGATTATAAGATCCAACATTCTATATAGCTAACTTGAACGTAATCTTAGATTTTAATCATTTTCACGTAGTATCTCAATCTCCAAAAAATTCTCCTGCTGTGACCTTCAAGTCTACATTTGTTACACTTGAGCAAAATCAAGTTCATTGCTATTCTCAGGCTACAATGAAAATTAAGGCTATTTCTGTTTCCTTCCCATGCCCTATAATTACACAATTAGAATTAGGAATTCTATTATTAACATTAGTAGTAGTAATGCCCAGCATTGCATGCAAATTTTGCTGAAGTACACTAAATTTGACTGCTAACATGCAGTAGGATTTGCATTATGAAAATCACAGAAAACAATTTTTTATTAAACCTTGAAATGAAAAACCTTTGCAAGACTGTCAGGCAGAGAAGGGGCACTCACATTTCCTTTCACCACATAGTTAGAATCGTTCTTGATGTCTCTGGCTAGACCAAAATCACAAATCTTTGTGATTCGACCATGAGTAAGGAGGATATTTCTGGCTGCCAAGTCTCTGTGAATACACTATTAGGTTGGGGGAGAAAAGAAAACCATTTAAATGCATTTTAACTTTCAAAGAGTGAAGACTATTTTTAAGACTAGAACACTGTTTATATTATAAAGAACCCCAAACTTTTGTTTTACATTTAAAGTATTCAGTGCACCAAAAATAAAAATTAAAATTATGCTTCAAATGATGTTTGCATTTTATGTTTCACGCGATCAGGATTTTAATTACTATAATCACTTTTGAAACCAATTCTTTCATTCATAGGAGTACATATTATAAATAGTCGAATTGTATTTTTTTAAACAGAAATTTCATTTTGCATGCATCTCTTTGAATGTCCTTTCTAAGAGTTCCTAAAATGTCTCTGCTACTGCAGTTTGACGTTTCCCAAGGACACAAGGAAAAGGGTCTTTATTTCAGCCATCTTATATCCTCTTTTAGGTTGGTAATTGTTTGGGAATACCACCAATGATGTTTAGGTAGGAGCTGTGACCTCATTCTCTTTGGTTAGCCCTATTTCCTAAAGAATTCCACTCGTCCTTCCAGAATCCATGGTCCTTGTTTGGGTTCCATCATCTCTTCCCATCCTCATCCTTTCCCTAAAGGTTTATTATTCTCTCTGACCCCTTATTTACCCATATTTCAGAAGCCATACATTTAATATTTGGGGTCTCTTTGAAAAAGCACAACTACACGCTGCACCAAGCACAGCAACAGTAAGGTAGACCCCCTGCTTCTGCTGATAAAATGATTATTCTTCTATTTTCTAAGAGCATATCCTATATCTTAAAGCCAAAAGTTTTAAATGAATTCACTGAATATAAAAGAATATTCATGGAAGCTCATTTAGGCAGGTTTGCACTTTAAAGCTTATAAATTAGCACAGGAATTCCAAAGAGACAGCAGTTGGAACATGAAGAAACTAAATTTCCTCTGCTTCTGGTTACCACACTTCCAAATGACACTCTGCATTCTAACTAGGGCTTTGAAAAGAAAGAAAATGGAAAAGAAGGACCCTGTGTCTCTTCTGAGACTTGCTCCCACTCACATTTTTCGAGGCAAGGAAAGCCATGCCCTTTGCCACTTGGTAGGAGAAGCTTAGCAAGTCTTCCAGGTCCAGAGCCAGCTCGTCATCCTCCATGATGGCAGGAGTCACATCTCTTTCTATGTATGAGCCTGTTAGGAAGAGAGGGCTTTCTTAGCAATTAAAACCTAGAAGGTTACAAAATAGCAGCAGTGACAGTCCCAAAGGCTGCCAATGACTGAACGCATGTGAACTTGAGGAAAGGTGGCTGGCTGTCAGATCACAAATATTCAACAATCTTCGGGTTGGGTTCCAAAATCCTCAGGGCAGAAGGATACATTAATTTTCAAAACCCACCTATACAAGCAGATGCTTAAATACAAAATATATGCTCTGACCCCAAACACCTACACTTGCAAACTCTGTCACTGCCTACTGGCTTTGCCCCTACTGGGAGTGATATGACATTCCAAGGTGCTATGACATACCCTCTGTAGATGAGATGGCTTTGTCACTTGACAGGTACCCACCTATTCTTGCAGATCTCCTTTTCTCTGCCTTGGTGGGGACAACGTAAGAGACTCCAGGCTTCATATCCATATACTCATTAGTACTATCATTGCTGGGAGAGACAAAACACCTATCAATTCGTGAAGGAAGAGAACCAGAAACAGAGTACTAATGGGTCAGGCTCCGTCTCTCGCCCTGTTTGTCATGTTACGGACTGGTTTTATTTGAGGAAAGTCATGCAGTATTTGAATGAAGGGTTTGAAAATCATGTTCTGGAAGATACAACTTTTTCATATTCAGCCTTAGAGTCCAGTCCCCAGGAATTAGACGTCCTTTTCATGGAAACTCAGCTTAGAAGCGTCCTATCTGTAGACATGGTAGATTTAAAGGGAAACAGAGCCCAAAACATTACTCCAAACTCTTCCCCCAACAGAGACAAGAGAAAAGACAAAGAACAGAGTGTCTGAGATGTGCAAGGGGAGAGAATGTTAACATATAGCAACTGATGGAAGAAGGTTTAAAAAAACCAACTTTGGTTCAGATAAACACCAATAATTTGGATGATTTTCTGAACCATCTGGACCTCTTGAGTCTGCAACATTTGGCTGGAGACTCTTCAAGATTTCCAGTACTTCCTGCTTCTGATTAGCATAGAAACACCATGACAACAGCCTCCTTCAGAGCGTGCTGGTGGCTCCAAACCCATATGGGGTCCTAAAGCACAAAGAATACCACCCAGGACTGAACAATTCAGGCCATTATATCAGCAAGTTAAAAAATATATAGAGGGCAGAGGTTTCAGAAACAAGGCAAAGTCTTGTTTCATGTCTTCATATACAGAGTTTATGCTCAGGAGAAACTAAAAGGGATGTATAGTATTTTACTACCACTTTCAACTACTCGAGTTTATAAGAGCAAGAAATGAAAACAAAAAGCCTCACCTGGGGTTTTAAACTTTAGCCAGAGGTAGGAAAAATGACTTTAGGAGGTAAATGCCCATCAATAATATTAACTGAGGTCTCCTGAAGGGCCTGGAATTAAGAGTTCCCTAGACAAAGTCTTACTATCTCAAAAACACAGAGGATAGAGAGTAAATTTTATTTTATTTTCTGGTGTTGGAGAGTGACTCCAGGGCCAAGCACATGCTGTGTATGTGCTTTACCACTGAGCTATACCTCCAAGCCCTAGAGTAAATGTTGCAAGGACAGGCGAATCCACCATCTATCTGCAGCAACACAAAACCTGAGGGATTGGGCATGATTACGATTTCCATTGGGCCAGATGAATCTGGAAATCTTACGTGGCAGATCTTAATAGCATCTGGAAAGAAAACACGGGCGGGTGTGACACAGAAGACTTCTATTTTGCTTGTAAACCAAATGAGTTCTCCTTAAAGGAACTTGAAACTCTTTCCATAACCATCCAAATTCAGAACAGTATTGATAATGCAAAAGATGAGAATGATGTCCAGAATTTAAAAAACAAATGTGCTAAAGTTGTTATCTCCCTCATGTCATGATGAATTAAGGGGGAGGGGCTGGTATATAGGGATAATTCAGAGATTGATAGTAAAAAGCCTCCATAGAGAGATTGTTCAGTGCTCTTTGACACTCTGCTAAAAGTTCTAAAGGACTTTATTGTGGCAACTTGACAGCCTCTAGAATCTTTTCTGTAAATAATTTCATTGTAAAGACATCTACAAAACCAAGCTCAACAGTACACATAGAAATTCATGCAAGAATGGAACCTTGATAAAAGAGTCAGGTATGAAATTCATTTCTTTCATAGAACTAAAAGCCTAGGAAAACAAAAACCTAAACATGCATTAAAAAAATGCCAGCAAATATCTAAGTTTACAACAATTTGAATCTTCAAAAACACTGTTTAAACTTCCTAAACAGTTAATCACATTTAAATAATTTAATAATTCTGATTTCATATCTCAGAGTACCTTGGTTCAGTTTTTAAAGACTCAGCCTTGATTGCAAAACCCTTCTGACCCCATGAACTGCCTGTCAACAGCTGACTCTTTATGCAAATCAGCCTTACCAGGAAGACTCCTTTGAATGCAGAAGATTCTTATAAAGTGCTGCTTCTGCCTGATCCTCCTGCTTTGAGCAAATAAATGAATCACGTTTTCTTCTCAAAAAATTCAAAAGATCACCATAGCAACAATATTCTGTAATGACCAGAGTGGGTCCTACAAGGACAGAAGAAAAAGTTAGAAAGAGGTAAGCTATACTATAGATAATCCCGCCTCCCAAAAACTATCCAGAGGTGACCATGGCTATTAACATTCAGCTTCAGTGGCTAAAGCTTCTTTGTCCCAATATAACTCTGCCTATTAACAATACTTATCAAGAAAGCAACATTATATATTAGAATAAAATAGGCTAGAACCTTTCTCCCTGAATTTCTAAGTGACAGGAGCCTCAGGGGCAGGCATGATTGCTGATTTTGTAGACACAAGTTACTGCTTTCCAGGTTCTACTATCGTCAACCTTCCTACGTGGATCCTTTGACTCACATCTGAGTACGGCAGGGCTTCACATACTCTCTGTAACGTTATTATGGAAATGAAGAACCCAAACTGCAGCATGGTAGGAAAATCAGCCACATGCGACAGCTAGCTGAGACTAGACTGGAAAGTGGGCAAAAACCTGAAATGACCCAAGTTCTGAGCGCTACTGGTGTTAATGAGCGCTTAAAAGTGCAGATCTGGAGCTAACAGGCACCTAATTACCTGGGGTAGAAATTGTCTCATGAACAATTCACGATGTGGCAAAGCCACTGTCTAAAGCTGTCAACTTTCCCATGTGGCTCTCCCTAGATCTGGAGCAACAGCTCATCTCACACATCCTTTGTTCCTTTAGGCCAAAATGCCTTCTGCAAGTTCACAGACATCCTGGACGAGGAACCTCAACTAAGAATGAAGAATGGGAAATTTGTCCTTCTAGAAGTGAAATTCTGGCTTCATTTGGTGTACAATTGGGAAGTGGGAGGCTTAGGAACTTATGCTAAATGACAGAAGGCAAATCAACATTAACTCCTTAGTGACTAATTATGATCTGGCAATACAGAAGGCTTGCAAGATAAGTCTTTTGGTTAAAGAGAGATATTCAAGAGGTGATACTTTCAAAGTAACATACATGACAATAACTAGTGTTATGTGCTGGGCTGTTCCTCCTTCGGATGGTAAGACTAAAATCTACGGTTTTTATTCATTAATTGGGGAACTCATTTATTCTTTCAATGTAAATTCCAAAATACTTCTTTTTTAATTGACATATATTTGTACTTATTTAAGGGTTGGAGTATTAAAACCTATATATGTATATATGCACTTATCAAATCATGGTAACCAGCAGTCATGCACAGAGACAAACGCCCTAAGCTCTCACTCCTTTGTGAATGCAAAATAGTTGGTCTCATAGAAGTAGAGGGTAGAATAGAGGTCACTGGAGGCTACAATGGGGAAGGGGAATAGTGAGAGGGTAGATATGGACACCAAGACATAACTGGCGGGGGGCTGGAGGTGGGGAGTAGTTCTAATGCACAGCGGGGTAACTACAGTCTACAAAATTAATACATTGTACAATAACTAGAGGAGAGTTTAAAGGTTCCAAACACAAAGACATGATAAAATCTACATTCTTAACAACAATGAGGAAAATAAAACTGAGCAAAAGAGGACAAAAATCTGGATCATAGTCGTGCATGCAGTTTATAATCAAGCATTGTCCAAACCTGTGACACGGTCCCTCTTTTGATAACTTGACGTGATAAAAGGCAATTAGGATGTGGCCTTACCTCCAACGGTGCACGCTCCAAGAAGGTTCACAATATTCATATGATTCCCAAGGTAACTCAGGACCTTGAGTTCAGACATGAGGGCTTCCCGTTCCGTTAAGTGAGCACTTGCTAAAATTGGAAACATCTTATTTTAGTGAGGAGAAAAAAAAAAACCACTAAAAAAGTGAATTGGGCAAACTGGTGCTGGGCACATTCAGTGAATGCAGGAACTTACGCTTGAGCATCTTCACGGCCACTGTCATGGCCGCATCTGACTTAATTAGGCCATAAGCAGTGGCTTCCACGACCTTCCCAAAGGCTCCAGCACCCAATGTCTTCCCTTTAGGAAGGAAGAAGGCAAGGTAAGTGCTGGGGACAGTCACGAACTTCCAAGATCAACCAAAGAATTAAAGACAAAAGTGTCCAGAGATATTTCCCTACAGCATTTTCAATGCCAGATCTACCAAGTTCTGTAAAAGTGCACTGAAAACACTTCTTGTTTCAGGTGGAATAAAATAAAGGAAGTCCCCTGCAATCATTGCTGCATGTATACAAAGAGACTGCATGGAAAGCCCCTGTTTCACACTGACCAAAACTCAGCCTGTTTCTGGGAAACTCCCATTTGTGATCATAAGGAAGTTGTGTTGGGTCTATGTAAACATAATTGTTTCCATTTATCTCCTCGACAACCTTCCATTGTACTTCATACATGGGTTTCTGGGGGAGAAAGAGAAAGACACATCACCTTTTAATGATTAACGACTTGGTCAGTGTAGCACTGGGGAAGGAAAAATCAATGGTTACCTGTAAATATTTGTAGGTGAGAATCATCACAATGATGCACATCATGCCAGCCGTGATCACGAAGCCAATCAGTAAAGGTGTGAACAACGTGTGTGGATGGATTTGTTCTGAAATGGAAGAGAAGTGGGGAGTGGCAAACGTGAGCAGGACGGGAGCTTGGCCACAACTGCCCAGCCCAAACTGACCCACCTCCCATCGTCCAGCCCAGGCAGGCCACACAGCTATGCATCTCACATCGGCTGCATTTCTAAAAATGTGACTTCAATACAGATTATGAGAAGGTGACATTTCTGTGGTGCATGTACAACTTAGGCTGTTTTTCAAAGACAGTCAATGACTGAACAGACTCTGTAGTTTAAATTCCTTCTTTAAAAAGAAGCTTCCTTTACAGGTAGTTTACATTCTCTTCTTTTTGTTTTCCAAATGTTCCACCCTGGGCACAAATGTCTTTCACAACTAAGAAAAACATTTTTAAAGTGTCCTTTTCAGGCTGGGCACAGTGGCTCAAGCCTATATACTCCTTCCTATTTGGTAGGCAGAGATCGGGAGAATTGTAGTTTGAGGCCAGTCCAGACAAACAGTTTGCAAGACCCCATCTCAAGCAATAAACTAGAATCCCAGCTATAAGGGGAAGCACAATAGGAGGATCACAGTCCAGGCTAGCCCAGGCAAAATGTGAGACCCTATCTCAAAAAAAATAATCAACCCAAAAAAGTGCTGGAAGAGTGGCACAAGTGGTAGACATGCCACCTTAGCAAGCACAAGGCCCTGAGTTCAAACCACAGTACTGCAAATCAAAACTTTAGAACAATGTTAAAATTCTTCCCCTCATTACTCAATAGCTAAGAACACTTAACTTTTTGGCACTATTCTTTGCCATCTCAAAAGCAACACACACACACACACACACATCCTAACAAAACGGAGGCTTAGAAAACAGTTTCTTTGTCTTCTAACTTTAAGCCAATTTGTTAATTTGTCCTCAAGGATCATTTAACTTATGCTAGGAGAGCTAGTCACTCACAAAGCACATTTTAAAGAAATAGGTTGCAGGGCTGGTATATAGCTCAGTAGCAGAGAACCCAAGATGCATGTGTGTGCAAAGCCCTGGGGGTTCGACCCTCAGCACAGCAAAACAGAAGATACTGCTTACTAACATGATTATCTAAAGGACAGGATTAACTTTCTGATATGGGTATCTGGCAAAGTGTTAACTGCTTTTAACTAACTAAAACTTCAAGTTGCTTTAATTATGTTGGATCATAAAGTAAAATATATTCCTCTATTTACTTCCAATCTCCATCCCCCCACCCCCTTATTTTTTTTGTGGTACTGGGGCTTGAACTCAGGGCCTTCACTTTGAGCTACTCTACCAGCCCTTTTTTGTGAAGGTTTTTTTTAAGATAGGGTCTCACGAACTATTTGCCCAGGCTGGCTTAGAACCACAATCCTCCTGATCTCTGCCCCCTGAGTAGCCAGGATTACAGGCATGAGCCACTGGTGCCCGGCCTTTCTACCTCTTTTTAATGAAGACATAGTAAACATGTAATTAGTTATGGAGAAGCTCATACACACACACACTCTAAATATATAAATAAATAAATTTATAAATATAAAATTACCCTGGTAAAAGTATAAACTTCATTTACAAACTAGTATGGAATGAACTTTTATGAGTTTGATGACAGTATGGTGTCAGAAAATGACATGGCACATGTTGGAATGGACCTAAAGTCATGACTGATATGGTAGACAAAGCCTAAACATCCCCTTAAATTGGATTAAAAAGAAATATACCTTTGCTGTTACCTTTAAATGCAAAGTTAAAGTAGGCAGAGCTCTTGCCCACATCGTTGTAAGCCTTACACTCCACTGTGCCATTGTGCCGGAACACGCTGGAGTCAATGGAACTTTGAACCACTAATTTCCCAAATGGTGGCACAGATGAATTCTGGATCTGCACATCCACTGGCTGGACAGGCACAGAGCACCTGGGGGCAAGAACGCAACAGTGCGGGCTTATGCTAGGAACCCAAATGGATACCCGCATCACCTGGGGTATAGTATACTTTACAGCACAGGTAACAACAACACTGCCCTTTAATAACCATCAGGTGTAAAGAAGAATGAGCCCTTCTGCGGCCCTGTGAGTGAGAAAAGGAGGGTGAAGAGCAGAAAGAGAGAGGAGTCTTGGATTTTGATGTGGGTTTGAATCCTAACTCAAACATGCTTATCATGTGGACCTCTGCCAATGAGTTACATAAACTCTCCCAGACTCTTTCCAAGCTGTACAATGGGATGGAGATACCCATCTTGGAGGGTTATCGAGAGGGTTGGAAATGAATTAAAACAGCTACCATAGATAGATCCTGGCACACAGAGACCGTTAGAAATAGCCAAGCTTTGAAAGGGTATATGAATAGCTGAAAAGGAGTGTGGAGAAGGAAACCATGAAAAACATGCTTCCATGACAAAGACATGAAGACACCCAAAACTGCAGTAGCGAGGCACTGAGGCCCAGGGTTATAAATAGGGTGACACCACTGTGAATGGCCTGATGATAATCCAGTTGGCAAAGACCACTTGTCCTGAGAGGGATCTTGTTCATGGATCAGAGATCCCAGCTACCATCTTGTCAACTCCGGGCCATTTCCCATTCCCTTATTATCACTTACCTATGCGAGTTGTTGATCTTGCCTCTCTGTACCCACTAGAATACAGACTCATAAAGGCAGAGTGTCCATACCAGCATCTGGCATACACTTGTGCCCCCACCAACCGTAAATATTTGCTGAATAAAAGTCTTTAACTACTGAGGTTGCTTGCTCTAAGGGCACACTTTCCAAGGTTCCCTTCTGATTCCCTCAAAGAAGGCTTCCTACTCATATCCAAATGATGATCCTACAGAACTCTTCTGACAAGTGGTCATAAAGAAGTCTAGTCCACGAAAAACTAAATTTCCACTACCACCTGACTATTCAGTTGTGATGATAAGCTGGGCTCTTAAGGCTGGAACATAAAATAGCATTTGATGGATAAAAACAGCAACGTTGACCCCATTTTCTTCTTCAGGTAATGGGAAAGGACAATTTAAGGCTTAAGTGTGGCCTGTGAGGGAGAAGAAACACAATGCCAGATGTTCCCCGTTCAGGGGCTGGGCACCTAATCAAAGAGAAAACCTTTTTAAAACCCGTCGCTTACAAACGCCATATGTATGTCGTAATTGTGTGATCATTACTTTTTGGTAACTTGGCAATTAACTTCTGAGGTAATTTTTTCATGATAACTACAGCCACATCTCCCACACACATTACCTCCTGTGTAGAGAATGCAAATCTAATTACTCTGTCCTGGAAAATTGCTTTATCTACCTGCAGGCTAGAAATTGCATGATAAATCCAAAAAGATAACCACCAAAATAGAGGAGTCATTCAGTAATCATTTTTCAGCAAACAAAATTAATGTCTACCAGGAAAAAAATATAGCCATTATCCCCTCTAAAAAGCCACATGGACAGAAAACAAAACAAAGCTTTTTTTTCTTTTAAAAAAAAAATCTGCAAACACATCTGAAATTCAACTGAATTAAAGTTCTTCCCTTCTCCATTTTAAGCAGTGCCAAAAATAATCATCTCACCTCTGCTCCATTCCTGGACAAAAATACCAATCTATTGTGGGCTCAGGGAACCCTGCTGCCACACACTGGAGCATTCCATTCATGAGCCTGTCGTACGTCAGGATTTCTGGTTTTGCTGCAGGAAAAGAGAAGTGGCCATATGTCAGACTGCTGAAAAACCTCCCTGAGATTCGCTCCACTCTTTCTCATCCTTAGAACCTTCCAGAAGCTGAGGAGCCTAAGGGAACATGTCACTCAAAGGGAAGAATCTGGACCAGTGAATGGAAGATACAGGGAGGTGGACGTGAGGTCCACCCCCATCATCATCTTGCAAACACAGTCCGAGAAAAATGCTCAGTGCCTAACTGAGGATCATCCCCACCCATCCTGTCCACATGGAGGTCTCTGTGAACTCTCTCTGGACCACCTGGCAAGTTTTGCTTCAGGCGAAGGGGACTCTGAAAGATTGCTTCTGGTCAAGACACTAGGATTCCAACTGTTCTAATGGCAGAAATCTTGTTTAGAGAATTCCTGACATTGGGATTTCAAGTCACTGTACCTGCCAAGGGATTTCAAGTTATTGTAGGGAATAGAAAGGATGAAATTGAGTTGTTATAGGAAAAGAAAAACGCTACTCTCTTTTTAGGGGTAGAGGGAGTGGTGCTGATACAGAGCTGAATCATACCATCTTCAGGGAAGTTAACATTTGAGAGTAAGTGACAATATGGACTTTTAACTACAAACCTTTATTTCAAATGCAAAATACAGACAGAAAATTAGAAGAATTAATTCATACATGTATCTAGAGTCTGAGTATAATCAGCAAAAACAAATGTTATCAGCAGGAAGACTTTAATTTGACATTTCTGTGTAACTACGATCATCAATGGATATTCAACAATTTCATTTTCTGGAAACTATTTCTAAAGTGAAAGGAATTTGAACTTATGTTTGGTAGTTCTAATGGCAATATACTTGAAGGTTTCTCACCTTTTGAGAATGAGTAAGCTGAAGTGTGGGCTTCCTGAGGGCAGGGATGCTGGTGTGATCACCGGTGTCCTTGGAGGTGAGCCCGAACTACAAACTCAGAACTGAGCTCAGACCTATGAAGGCTATGTGTGGTGGACAATCTCAACACTAGCTCCTACACTTACCAGTTCTCTGCTTGATTAAGTTTCTGAGTCCCTCTCCTAATTCTATTTCTGCATGTGTAAAATGACAACCATAATGGTAGCCACCTATGCATATTGGGACAATTAAATGAGATGGGCCTACAAGGAGCTAAGAACAACTCAGAAAAATATAACAGTACATTCACTAGTTATTGTTATGGTTCGGTTATTCTCTTCTAATTGGAGTACCTACCCTCCTTGGTTAAATGAGTTCACTACAGATTAAGTTAGCTGTGTCTGCCAGTTAATAGTCCCTTCACTGATCTGAAAATTGCTTCTGTAAGCTAATGTGATAATGTGTATGTGCTTTAACCTGATGCACTGGGAATTCAACACCACTTATATTGCGACTGATAAGAGTGATAGACATGGTAAAAAGGAAAGACAGATCAGAAGTGTAGGAAGTTTATTTCCCCAAAGGAAGCTAACACTGATAAATGACATCTTGGTACAGCCAACTCTCAGCACCTCACTTCCTTGGAGGCAAATGACTTGGCAGAGATCAGAGTGTCCACATGCATGACACACCTCCACCTGTCACTCAACCTGGCCTGCTGATGGGCAGGCCAGTTGGCAGACACACACAAAAGAGAGATTCTCCAAAGCCATCTCAAGGTAGGAGCCTCCTTGAGAGTTTGGATCCAATGCCAGCTTGCACAAATAGAGCAAGAAGACGAGCCATCATCTTGCGAAAGCATCCATCTGGCAAGCTTCATTTAATTACCATGGGCAACTGTGTGATCGAGCTGAAAGTAGGACATAACACTAAACAGTGGACTCTTAGGAGAATGCTACTTTGCTGGAGACTGCAGGCACCATACGGAAGGTCTCTCTGAACTCAGCTTAAATGTCACCTCCTTTTCTAAGCAACCCCAACTCTCCCAAGCCAACTTAGTTGGCCTCTCTCCCCATGCCTGTGGCACTTACGAGCATCTGACTCTGTTATGCAAGGTCTTGGTCTGTCTCCTCCATCTGACTATATGATTTCAAGGGCAGGTCTTACTGATTGTACCTCTGATCCACAGCAGACACACAGCAAGAGCTGTTCAATGATGAAGATCTCACCCAGGGCTGGGACGTAGCTCAGTTGCAGAGCATTTGTCTTGCATGACCAAGACCCTAGGTCCCATCCCAGCACTATGGGGAGAAAAACAAATCCCAACCAAAGAACCAGTCACCACGAATCCAAAGATTCAAAAGAAAGGACCTGGAAGAATGGCCTAATGGGTGACTTTCATAGATAGGGAACCCATTTCCACTACTTTTACAATAGAGGGCCAAAAGACCAGAAATCCACACAAATGCCTACATGTATGAATTTGTTTTTAAATACCGAGATTAGGGATGAACCACAAGTCTACACACAGATGGCAGAGATACTCAGGAGGACTCAAATGGGAATTGAGTTTATAACATAAACAATTCCTGCCCACATTCCCTTTGTCCTGCATCCTTCCGTGGGATTCAATATCAACTCAATAGGAAAAAAAATTTAAAGGCTGAAGGGATACTTAAAATGTTAACAATGGTTACCTCAGGATAGTAGGCTTGTAAATAGTTTTTATTTTATTCTTTTGACATATTTGGTAGTGTTATTTTACAATGAACATGTAAAAAATGAACCTATAAAATATTTTAATTAGAAAATTGGAACATCTCAAAATTGCATAATCAATTACATTTTGCTTTGGTGACAAGTGCTCTAAGATCCAAGCCTTCTAGCAAGACACCTGGTAGCAGTTATTCAACAGCCACGGCTGGCCATGGTGCAGTCTGGCTGGCCTATTTGCTCCTGTGTGTTGGTTAATTAGGTAAAGCTATAATCCCAGGTGGATCATAACCTGAAGCTGGTTGAGCCACCTCTGTCCTGTTGGGCCTCCGAAAGTCCTAAACCTTCAATATATATTAGACTTACTGAGCGATGAGATTGAATACAGGCTCCCCTCCCCTCTTCCTCACCCCACTTATTTTATTTCCGTACACTCAGGATCGGACTCAGCAATGTGCTTTTATAAAGCACCTTCAAGGAGTCCCAGTCAGGGCCAGGACTGGAGTAAGGCACAAGAATCATCTAATACTTCAGAAGACACCAACCCTAAAGGTCTGACAAGTTGGCATCTGTGTGTGAACGCCTCCTCTTACATAACTATAGTCTCAGCCCTGGCCCTGGCCCCAGTGCTGCTGGTGTGATACCTCATTCTGAAAAGGCTAAGTTACACTGGTCCAGAGTGGGCTTTCCATGACAAGTTGCTTTAGGAAAATGTTTAATGCATAAAGAATGAGCAAGGTAGAAATCTGATTCCTAAAAATGAAAATCTGGGCTCATCTGCATTTTCTAAGTGGCTCAATGCACTGTGTATGGCATTAAATATGCATTTGGCTGCTAACGATATATAACTCTCTGCAATTCTCCAGGTTAAGTCTGAGCTGCAGTTTCTTTGATATTCTGCAGTAAGCAGGATACCAAATGACACATCCCTAATTCCTCCCAAGTTGGAGGTTTAGATAAGCCTAAGAGGTGTATAAGTTAAGCATTTCCTTTGGAGAAAAAAAAAATAGCCCCTTCTCCTTTCAAAGCATTGTAGACTTGAGTCATTCTGATGTCTCCAAAACACCGATCAGCTTGGAGGCAATACCTCTACTGAGAATTTATTGCTCATGCAATTAAAATCCTAAATATTCACTGATTTACCCCCACAGATTGGTAATCTTGAAAAAGATTCTTTTTCACTACCATCAGGTCCACACTGAAGGCAAGAACAAAATGAATTCTAAGAACATAACACAGATAACAAAGAGCTGGCAGCTGAGGGCTGGGAGGCTACAGGCACAGAAGTGACTGGTGGGGGAGGTCTTTCATTCATCTCTGTGCAGGGAATGGGTTTGAGGTAGAGCTCTTCTCTCACACAGTCCACTTTAACTGACTCCTGCTGTAAGTGCACATCTGCTCTCGCTCTATAACAGCAGCACAAAGAACATAGACTGAAGGCTCCAAACAGTAAAAGACTAAATGGGGAGTGATTGAGGATCAATTTCTGCTTCTACGGTTCCAGGTTTGCTGGTGTGGAGTGGCACTTCAGCAGTCTGTCACTATCCTGGTTTGAGTCTGGATGAAACCTTCATTCCTATCCTAACACAGTTATAATAAAAGGATTTAAATCCGCTCAAGGGCTGGAAGGTATGGCTCAAATGGTAGAGCTCTTGCCTAGCAGGCTCCAGGTCCTACATTCAAATCCCAATTGCATAAATAAATAAGCTCAAATAGGTATGTAACGCCAGCTAACTTTTTTACAAACTAGATATTGTACTTCTTAGAAAATCCCCAGAAGAGATATTTTGGAAACATACTGTGTTTTATCCATTCTTAAGAAATTCATGTATGAGCACTTAAACAGAAGTTTATTTAACAAACTATGGTCTCCTGTACTCAACTATTATTATCAGAGTGCCTGTTGTTTAGAAAGGGAAAAAATATGTCCTAATGAAAGTAAAATTCCCAACTAGGAGTCAGCGAATGTTTACTGTAAAGAGTAAGAGGATCATTTCAGGTTTATGTGTTGTTGAGTCTGTCTTGCAGCTGGGGTACAAATGTAGCCACAGAATTTACCTACCCATTTACAAGTGGGCAGGCATGACCGTGTTCCAATAAAAATTCACTTCTGCATGCTGGGTGTGGTGGTTCTTGCCTATAATTCCAGTACTTTGGAGGCTGAAGCTGGAGGATCTCAAGTTCAGTTAGAGGCCAACAACAAAAACAAAAGTCCTTAGTTTGTGGGCTGTCCAATACCAGTCAGCAGGTCAAATTTGGTCAGCAGACTGTATGTAGTTTGCTAATTCCTGTTCTAAATAGCAGTCATCAAAAAGACCTCCCAGTCTCGAGATGAAGTTAAGACTAATGTCTCTACTTAGAGCAACCTTTTCAGTCAAAATCACTGTGCCCAACTTACATGATCATCCCTGCTGA